ACGTACCACCACCAATGTCACATGACTGCATGGCGGGATTGCCTACCTACTGCTTTGCAGGCGCTACATGCACAAAACCAAAAACAACGTGCCCTGGCAAGCACAAGACAACTTCCGTAAAGAACGAGCAGATTAATTATGTAGCAAATTCATTTGGTACACCTTGCAACTTGTTTGCTTATACTGTACCGCATGCCTACCGCGTCGCTCACCGCTCGGTGCCTTATGGCCCTGTGTGAGTATGCAACCCGGCCGCACGACTGCATCCGGTGCAGTATAAGCAAAATAAAGGAAGGGGTCTTTGGACCAACCTGTATTTTAAAACTGATAACTTAAACTGTTAATTTGACATGTGTTTTGTTACGTTGAGTAACTAACATTCGTTCGTGTTATGATTAGTTACGGATCCCTGATTTATGGTGATTCCTGAGTTAACGATGCAATGGTCGCTATAGCTAATGTGCCGAAATGACATTGCAATGTAAAGCATTAATCGGTATTGACCTGACTTGGTGTCATTTTGACAAATCTGTGTTGTTTGACACGTTTAATTTGCTGTGCATCTATGTTTTGAACAGGGCCCTTACATTGCTTATGGCGAACGCTTTTACATGTGCGAGCCAAACAACCGCCTGCTGCCCTGTAGGTGGAATATTCGCGCTTCTCACTTCAACCCATATAAACCAAAAGAGTTACAACGCTTGACAGGCAATGTGACGTCTACTGTAACGGTTAATGACGACTGCTGGGTAAGACATTTCAAATACACTGCAGATCGAAGTGTTTGGCTGTCAATTGATTACACACGAAATCCTTGTTATAACAGGCGAAAGTTGTTGTGGATGTTCGGTCGAACAATCAATGGAAGGAAAACGCCTTTGTCTTTAATTTTAACGACGGTGCATGTCGGGTTTTGAAAGAAAATATTCCTGCATTTTACAAGCAAGTTTTAAAGGGAAAAGATGAAGGTGGGTGCACAATTCCACCAGTAAGTATCTAGACTACAAGTCTGCTCTATCGCCATACTCTGTTGGCTACAAACACAAAAGAGCGCAAAAGAGTTATAAATGTAAAGACAGTGATGGCTTCTATTTACAGGGAGTTTACGAGGTTAATAACACTCCAGTGGACTGGAGTTTTCCAAAAGTTCCACTCCTGCCTTATGGATCCTGGAGGTTCAGACTCACGTTTGGCAAGGCTGAAAACCTTTACGCATGCTTCGTGATAAATGCTAAGAATGTTCCGAAAACCGACTAGGACTAGGAACGTTCAAGTAATTTTTTGACACATATATGGTGTCCAAAGAAAATGTTAAAATTGGAAGACTAATTTTGTTTTAAATGTCTTATCTGCTAAAAACGAACAGATTCATCAACACGATTTTGTAAAATATAATACACTTATTCGCGTTGTTGGTGTTACTT